TAATAATAATTCAATTGGATAAAATTACATATTTTGTTATACAGAGTAATACTAGTTTTTATAAGTATACTTATAATAATATTAAATTAAAATTATAATAATGATAGTGGGACAATAAAACTTTCTTCATTTATTAATAATTAACGCAACCATCCAATGTAGGTGGTTCATAATATAATTTTGTAATATTTTCATTGGTTTATTTGGTAATTCATGGATTTTAATTTGATGTTAAATTTAAAACTTTGTTATTAAATATTAATACTAAAACAACTATCTACTAACAATGATCAATTTATTACTTCATTTTTATTACTATTGCACTATAATGCACTAGTCTCTATTATTTTTATTTTTTTTTTTACTTGCACTGATTTTTTTTTTCGCTTTTTAAATACTTGAAGTAATTCTTTGCAATTTAAATTAGTGTTTTAGTTTGTTACATTGTTTATACATTTTTTTTTGAACTAGATTAATAGAGTATATAATTTTATATTATAATTTAGAATTAATTTTCTTATCTATCAAAAGTTGCTTGGAATGTGGTATAAGCTATATATTTTTTGTAACACTGTAACTGAACATTAAATGTAAATATTGGTTTATTATTTATGTGTAAGAGAATGCTACGCCCACTTGTGTTGTCCACGTCTTACACATGCATAACAGCAAATTAGTACATTCTGAATAATCCAATTATGTTATGTTTAATATTAGGGTGAATTGATCTATTATAAAATWTAAAAGTAAAAATATGATCTAGTATATACTTTCTAGTGAATCTAGATTTTTTCATATGTTTTTTTGTATGTGTTTTAATTTTTATGCAAGTTTGTGCATTTTAAACATTTTAATTTATATGTACATATACAAATGCTCAATACTTGTATAAAAATTAAAATATGAAAATAATATTATGYAATAATAAATAATATTCTCACTTAAATATTTTATAGTAATTATTACTATATAGTATATAATTTCTTTTACTCTCATATTAAACATAACAAATGGGATTATTAAGAAAATACAACTTGGCAGGCATGGTATCCATTTGCAAGACAGAGACAATGCATATAAGTGTAGCATCCTTTGAATTATATATTGAAAATAATTTTTCACTTCAAATAATAAAAAAAAAAATATATAGCTTGCATAATTATCAAATTATCAATAAAGAAAATATTTTGATTATAAKTATTACTATGGATAAATTTATTCTTTATTAAAATATAAATTAGTTATGTTTCATCAATAAAATTGTAAATAAATCACAATTAAAAAAACCCTTACTTTTGTTTTGGCCTATTGCAGTTCTCAAGTCATATTTTTAGTTGAAAGCCTAATATTAAAACTGAAATATTTTTTTTGCCAATTATTTTAACGTTCTGAATAATTTGTTTAGAATTAAAAGTTTTCTGTTTATAAGTCATTAAATATAATTTTTTAAACATTTATTAAAAATTATGAAAAAATATTTTTGTATTCTAAAAATTGTAGATAAATTCAAAACAAATTTTAAATTTATTCAATATAGTAATTAATATAATTATAATTTGGATAACATTTTATTATAATTTTAAATATCAAGAAAAAAATATACTAGTAAAACTGATACATTTTGTATTTGCTGAATTTTAAATTGTTACTACAATGTGATTTAAAATGTTGTATTATTAACTACTGAATGATAACTAAACAGACTTTAACAATTAATATTTTATGGCTATTCTTTATTAAAATTTAGATCAAAATATTCTTTGGATATTAAAAACTAATACTTTTTAAAGACAATTGATAGAATAATTTATTAAATCAGTACTTTTCAAGTGTTAATTCTTATACATGTTGGATACATAAGATAGTCAAATTTCTATTTATCAATTTATGGTGTTTTCTTGTTTTAGTCATGATAATCAATTTGTTATCAGGTAGTCGCAGTAATCAAAAAAACCATAAAATCTTATATGTTAATTGCTTAGCTTCCTAGAATTTTACTAAAAGTTAAAAAAAAATGTTTATATTTTTAGTATTTATTTCATATAATTTCCTTTTATTTATTATAAATCCATTTCACTTAAGGTCTTCACACAMTGAAGTGGAGACTTTCAAATTGTTTTGTTTTGGTGCTGCCGTGCACTATGGGGACCTTTATTTATAAATAAAAACACTTTTTTATTTTTATTTCTATACATTTATATTTTACATATTATTGTTGTACATTTACTGCATTTGATTGTAATTAATATTTTTTTGTAAATAGCATGTAGAGATGCTTTTGGTTTTCTTAAATAGTAATTCTTTAATGATCAATACTAATTTCAATTAAAATTCCTTAGTTTTCTTAAATGTTGCCTTATAATTTTGTTTTCTTGGTTTTGTATTAGTTTTATCAATACGACTTATAGATAATTTAGAATGATGCATTAGTTATATTGTGTATTGCCAATTAAAATATATTGATTATTATATATAAATATACTGATATACATAATATACATAATATATTATTATTAATTTGTATGCAATAGTATTAGTCTATACTCTATAGGGTTAATGTAAAAGGTTAAGCAGGGAAACATTTTACTTGGATTTTGTCTTACCTATTTGACATTTATCTATATACTATTATAACTAAAAATATACATTATATTTTGTTTCCCATGATACATGCATTTCCCTGCTTTTGCCTTTTATAGAAATACATTTACTTTAAGTTATATTTATACAAAAAGTGCAAAATTGATGCCTCTTGCAATTAACTACTTCACGGTGGTGTTTATGTCGTTTTGCTTGTTTTTGTTCTTTTTTCAAGACGAATACAACTTAAATCCTGGCTTGGAGTGGGAAGACGAATTTACAGGTAGGTACATCAGCAAATGCTTTAAAGCATTTATTGAATTTGTATTTAAATTAGGTACATAAAAATAATTTTTTTAGTTTTTGATTTATACTTTTATTCCATGTGATTTAAATTTGAAAATTTATTTATTTTGTTGATGGAGGTTGCGTTAATTTTATGTTATGTATTATAACTTAATCAATAAACAACAACTTCATACGATATTAGTATAATGCYTAATATGATTCAGAAAATTTAATTTTTTTTTAACAATTCTAAAAGTAAACTGGGTATTAAAATACTTATTATTTAGCGGTTTTATTATATTTGCTATTATGTTGTACATTTTAAATAATTATTTTAATTTATAAAATATTATATATTTATTTCAATCTTTTAATACTTAATCAGCAATCACTTATCTTAATTTTATTTTCTGAATCTTATTATATACATTATCAATGTCATCACAATGATTATCCAAAGCCTCCTTTCATATTATAAATGTTAAACTAATGTTTTTAATATTTGCTTAGAATTTTTAATTTTTTTTTTTTAAYAAATATTATTTTATTTTAAACATTGGTGAGAATACATTTTTAACACAATCTAACCAAGTATAAATTATTTTGGATGCATATTAAATATATATACTGTAAGCATCTATTGCTAGCCATTCCTAAGTAATTAACAGACAGTTCTTACGTATGATGATGGCTCTGGTCAAGCGGAAGATGAAGATATCAGCCTTACAAATTTGTCCACTTTCCAAAGCAAGCTGCCACCAGGGATTTTATCTCAAGGGCTTCCTCAAGTGAAGGAAGTTGCACCRGCTATCACTTCATTGGAAAGAGAATTAATTATTAAAGAAGAACCTAAGAAAGGTAAAATAACTTATTAATTATCAAATAATTCTTTATATGATATTACATGAATATACACATTTTTTTATTATTATTTAGTTAGAGAATTAAGTGATGCAGAAAAAATGATGATTGTTCATTCAGAAGATTTTCAACAATTTATGGACCGTGCAGGACGTGTCATGGAACGGGCTTTATCTGAAAATGTAGATATTTATACAGATTATACTGGTGCTTTAGATGACAATGATGTTAAGTTAGTAAAAATTAAATTTAAAAATATAAAACATTGTAAAATTGTTTATGTTTTATGTTTTTAGTGAAGACAAAAGTAGTACCCGATTATCATTGACTCGTGTGTTTTATGATGAACATTGGTCTAAAAATCGTTTAGTTACTTCTTTAGATTGGTCTCCACAATTCCCTGAACTAACTGTAGCATCTTATAATATTTCTGATGCACCACATGAACCTGATGGTGTTGTTCTTGTGTGGAATACTAAGTTTAAAAAGAATTCTCCTGAATATGTATTTCACTGTCAGTCAAGGGTACTTTCAGCCACATTTGCTAGGTAATATTTTGTTTTATTGATACATTTGTGTTGGTACTAATTATAAAATTATGTTTTRTATAGGTTTCATCCAAATTTAATTTTAGGAAGCACTTATTCTGGACAAATAGTTTTGTGGGATAATCGAGCACAGAAGAAAACTCCTATTCAGAGAACACCATTATCAAATACTGCTCATACTGTAAGTTTTAATTTATACTAATTAATTATTTGTATTATTTAAAAGTCATCCTTAACCTGTCAAGTGTCATTGGTCCGGAAATGATATATTTTTCACCTTAGCATTATTGAAGTTACTTCTGCTTATTGTATCATTTGATTGTCTTAAGCATGTATAATATACTTTGTTAGTAACATATAATCTAGAAATAATTATACATTAAATATCATTATTTGAATACTGTTTTTTGTCTAACATGATCTGTACTTACATAAAGACAGAAATTCTTTATTATGCAACAAATGATAATAAAATATTATAATGCTCAATAATTCAACTTTTAATTTATATTATAAAATTACAAAATAAATATTCAAATATATAAATTTTAAAAGTGATAATAACTCACACTAATTTCATATTAAATGTGTTTTGGTGATTCATAACATCTAAAAATTCTGAGAAATTCTCAAAATGCAACTAATAAAGTGTTGGAATACATTTCGTGTTTGATAATAGGTTKTCATTCTAATATAAAATTTCAGTATGATGAACATGAGTAAAAGATAGAATCTATAGCACGCTGACATTGTCTTATTATCTTATATTATTTTTTTTATCTTAGCACCCTGTGTACTGCATCCAAGTTGTAGGCACACAAAATGCACATAATCTCATCAGTATTTCAACTGATGG